AATAGATGTTAGTTGCTCATCTTGTCAACTCGGGTTTTCTCTTTTGCTGGAGAAATGATCCAGTCTAACTCCCTACATTCCTCACGCAAGACAACAACTTTATAGGAAGCAGGTTTTATCACAACAATACAGCGTTCCCCTGTGGGTTTAACAGCCTGTCACTGAGGATGTTAAACATATCAGGTTATGTCATGAAGCACACTTTTAATTAACATTTACACGATCTGTGTCACCTGTCAGTTATGTTGATTATCTTTAGTGATAGTTGGGTTGCTGTGAATTCTTCTCCTGTATGCTCTGCTAATAAAGGAAGAATGTTTCATTTATATTTTGAGAATTTTGAAGCTCTTATCACCGCTGCTGTTCAGATACTTCAGGGTCTCTTCACTCTATTAGAAATCTTCCTTGGGCCTCAGTCACACAGGTTAGCAACTTCATGGTAGCCTGAGGTCACTAGGGGAAAATGAGCAATCCGCAACCAATTGGCGAGGTTGGCTGAGTGTAACCGGGTAACGCCAGTTATAAAGAGATTGGTTTATGATTGGTTGTTTTGTATTCTTTTTTACTCTAAATTTACCCTGTTTAAAATGTCTCTAGTACTCTTTATGGTGACCCCAATGAAGACTTCAAGCTGAAAAACCTTGGTCAGACACTAAAGTTGTTTTACATACTACAAGTATAGCTACAACTTTAACCAATGCAGACTTTATGCTTTCTCCTGCATTTTGGCTGTAGGTGACATATTGCTAGACACCTCTGATGCGTTTCAAATTTTTGTGTGCACTCATCAGATGCAGATCAGCAACCTGAGTGACCTGACACCAGAGGGCAAGGCTGGAGTGACGTGGCCAATAGGAATCAACCCTCCCTTCAAACCCAGGACGCGTTTTGAGGTCATAAACTGGGAGTACTTTACGGAAGAGCACATTTACTCCTGCGTCGATGGCTCCCCCAAATGTGAGTTGAGAGGTGTCAACCGCGCCGACGTCAATGCAATCCTAGAGATTGCGGTCGAGCGTCTCAACGAGCGCTACCAGCCACAGCTACGGTTCCGCAAGAGGCGTCTGCTCAATGGGTACCGTCGCTTTGATCCCACACGTGGTATGGAGTACATACTGGACCTCGCGCTGGAGGCCTACACCCAGAAAGGCCACAGCCAGGTCATTGCCAAACGAGTCAACCTGCTGCGACCTCTAAGTTCAGTTGAGATTATTCCCATGCCTTACGTGACAGAAGCGACACGGGTGCAGGTCATCCTGCCTGTCACCGCCCAGGATCAGGACTTTGTTGGGAACTTCCTGGACATGTACGTGATGAACACTCTGGACACCCATGACAATGTTTTACTCACGTTCTTGTTCATCTACGATCCTTTCGATGCGCAGAGAGTCAGTCAGACTGACGTGTTTGCTGGCGTCAAGGCTATGATTGGGGAAGTGGAGAAACGCTACGGAGACGTGAAGATCCCCTGGATCAGTGTGAAGACGGAGGTGCCCTCGCAGGTCAAGCTAATGGACATCATCTCCAAGAAGCACCCGGTGGACACACTATTTTTCCTGGCCAGCGTTTGGACAGAGGTCAACGCTGACTTCCTGAACCGCTGCAGAATGAATTCCATCAGCAATTGGCAAGTCTTCTTCCCCATCCACTTCCAGGAGTACAACCCAGCCGTCCTCTACCGTGACCAGCAGCCCTCTGCTGCCTCCTCCTCCGCTGCTTCAGAGTCACTGCGAGACGGCCACTTTGACCGGCACGTCTTCGACGAGGCCTGCTTTTACAACGCCGACTACATGACCGCACGGACGAAGATGGCTGCCGACATCCTGGATAACGAGGAGCTCCTGGAAAGCATGGACGTGTACGACATCTTTGTCCGTTACTCGGGCTTGCATGTGTTCAGAGCAGTAGAGCCGGCGCTGATTCAGAAATACGTGCAGCGGACGTGCAATCCCCGCTTCAGCGAGGACATCTACCACCGCTGTGTTCTCAGCAACCTGGAGGGTCTGGGGTCACGCTCGCATCTAGCCATGGCTTTGTTTGAGCAAGAGCAGGCCAACAGCACATAGAGCACATAGAGCTTGGACTGAAGGACACTGAATGTGATTTTTGTTTCCTTTCTTTCTTTTTTCTTTTTTTTTTTTAAACGTGGTACTTCTTGCATCCACACACTGAAATTCTCACCCCCGAACAAAGTGGAAAGAAGTCAGGACAGTTTTTGACACTCCAGCAGCTGCAAATAAACCCTCTGACTTATGACTGTGTAACTTTAAACCTGTCTTGTCCAGACCTGTTGAACCATTACTGATGTTAACGTCACTTTGAGAAGCCGTTACTTGTATTCCGGTCGAACAACAATATTTATAGCCCCCCTCCCTTTTTTTTTCTTTTTTTTAAAGACAATAAATTAACATCAGCCTTTATTGTTAGAAATGAATAAGAGGGGGAAAAAACTTGAGCCATAAGTCTTCCTTTTGTGAGGATTTTTTAAGTAATACTGAAACAAGCTGCCTTTTCTTTAAACTTTGTTCTCTTTAAGAGGTATTAAAGAGTGATACTTCTGCTCAGAGTTGTTGCTTCATTCATTCAAGCTCACAGTGTAAAAGGCTCAGTCTCATTAGACAAAAGGCAACCGTTTATAGGATGTGTACGCGGCGTGCTTGGACAGTTATTCCTGGAGATATCTGTTGTCTGCTTGGCAGAACCGAAGAAAAGCCAGAAAAGATTCTGTGGTCAGTAAAGATGGTGTGTTCACATTCACAATAATGCATCTTGTAGTGTTCTCAGTTTTCCCAAAAGCTGCGTTGCAGAGAGCCCCAGAGGCAGTGAACAGTTTGTTCCAAAGCTGCCTGCTCGTCGCATTAAGTCAGTGAATCTCCACCCCTGCCCGGGCCTCCTTGAGTTTTGGCAAGCGTTCTGCATGCACGTCTTTTTTTTTTTTTTTAGGGGGGTGAACTCAGTGCCCGGAGGGAGGGTCGGGGTCTGCAGCGGCTGAGGTGGTTAACCTTGACATGGCGGTGGTTAAATGGTCTGAAAGGCTTACTTCACTCACCTTTCTCCTGTCGGCTCGGGAGAACAGACAAGCAGCAGAGTTAAAGGAGCTCTTTCTGAGACGGGAGCAAAGCTGCAGTCAGCATTACAGCCACTGCTGCAGCTCCCCGTTGGAAGCGCCTCCACCTGCTTCCTCGTGGTGAGGCCAGTGAACAATAAAAGGCCTGTGTGCCACCTCTGAGGAGCGCCTGGCTCATGGAAGAAACGAAACCCACCAATGAGGCAGGGCACAAAGCCAGAGTGTACGGCAGGGCCGTGCAATCTCCCCCACTCCCACCCCCACTTTATTCTGCAGCTAATTGAAAAAACTGAAAAATTCAAAAGGCCTTTACAATGACAGAGCTCACGGAGACTGGATTCCCTGTGATCATGTGTGCATTAGCTGGTGTTTGATTGCAGGGGTGAAAAGCAAATCAGCTCACACAATACAGAACCACTCTGCTGTTCACTAAGCCAGTATTAAAAGGACACTTCACCCTAACATATAATTCATGCCTTTCTCCTCTGACCTGTAATTTAGAGTTCTTTCCATTTTGGATGTATCACCTGTAGAGATGTCAGCTTTCTATTGAATATAATAGAACTTAATGGCACTCAGCTTGAGTTGCTCAAAGGGCCAAAAATTACATTTAAATAACTCAGCAGCTAAACCTGATCATTGAAAAAGAAGTCACAAACCCAGCTGCAGGCACTTTCTTCAACTGCAAGCTGGGAAATTAATAAAATTTTAATTTCAGGTGAAATTTGGTCTTCTACCCATCAATAAAATGACTACGGTGCAATGTTTTGTTTTGCCTCTCAGCCCATCTTTGTCATGTAGTCACATCCCTCCTCACCAGGCTGTGGCAGCTTTGCGTCACTTCATATTTATCCATTAGTTTTTTAAAATGTTAATAATAATGATTAAAGTTCAAGGAAAGTCCAGACGATTAAAAGGCAAGTTTTCTCTTTTATACAAACTCTTTGCCTAATCATCTTCTTCCTGATGTTTACCTCTGGGAGTCGCCACAGCAGATCTTCTGCCTCCATCTCACTGTAGCCCCCAGCTCTCTCCATGTCCTTTCACCACATCCATGAACTTTCTCTGTGGTCTTCCTCTTTTCCTCCCACCTGGTAGCTCCATATTCAACATCCTTTCTCTGATATATCCACTATCCCTCTCCTCATGCCCAAAACATCTCAGCCTTTGTCTCCAATCCAATCAGTCTGAGCTGTCCCTCTGATGATAACTATTTCTAATCCCAACACTTCTGGTCACTCCCAGTGAAACTATTAAAACCAGCACATGTTTGATAAAGTGTTAATTGGTTAAATAAGAATAAAAGTTGGAATCAAATTAAGGAATGAATCCCTTTGTGACAAGTGAGATGGCAAAACTTCTGCAACTCCCACAGAGACAATCCAACCAATCCAATCCTATGAAACACTGTAGACAAAAACTGGTAAATATAAAACACTTGGAAACTGGTTTCATATCTATGCAACAATATCAAGTTGTATAGTAAAAGCTGGTTTTGAGTTTCTACGCAGTGTAACCAATAGGGTTTCACTTATCTTTGAGCCAAAAAACTGCAGATGGACCACAGAGTTGAAGACTTTTCTAACTCCAAAACGCTATTTCTATAATTAAATGTTTAAGTAAAACCCTAAAGTCTGAGAGCTTTATGGAGTCACATACTAAACTCATCTCAAATGAGCGCTAGTCACCAGATCAGGGATGTGGTGGGGACAGGAGATTCTGATCATGGCTGTGCAGCACCTGTGTGATGCTGTCATGTAACCATGGACCAAACTCTGAGGAATGATTCCACCACCTTTCACCTTTCAGTGTGGAGTTTCCCTGCTCTCCCGGTACTCCGTCTCCCTCCTTCAGTCCAAAGACATCCATGATAGGTTAAGTGTCAACTGAGTGTGAATGAAGTTGTAAAAAAAAAGACACATTAGATCTCATGTCATTTACAAACTTTGGCAAGCGCTTCTTTATTTACATCCAGGCTGTCTCGCAGTGTCACAGCTGTTTTCCCTTTTTTTTCTGTAGTATGTAATCACCAAACAAGATTTGCTCTTTACAGATATACAGCATTATGTATACTATAACCTTCCTGTCGGCGACCCTCTGACAACAGTGTAAACAGAGAAAAAGAGCAGCTCCCGCTCTTCGGGAACACATGCACGGATCGAGACAGACATGTCAACAGTACACCAGGGTTTAGTGACAGAAGACACAGCAGTTTGTTAACACTTTTATCAGACGCCGCTCGAAGCCGAGGAGCTGCAGCTCGTAGATTCCTCCACAAGAGGGTGCTAGTGAACAGCAACGTGAAGGCCTCGGCCATCCATACAAAGAAAAACAAAATCATAATAATAAAATAAAAAAAAAAATCACTGGGTCAGACACAGGACCGAGATACTACCTATGACTACTTTTTCTCCTCTAAAGAGTGCAGTTAATATAATTTAGTCCTAGTAACAAAAACACGCTCAGAAAAGTCACACCTACAGTTAGTTGCTGGTAGGGTATGTTGGATTTTTTTGTAGTTTTTTTTGGCAAAAAAGGTTTTCAGAAGGCATTTCAACAAATGTGACGGGTCTCGCTCTCGTCACACACACACACTCACACACACACACTGGTATGCCAGCTTTTCATATTTACACAGACCGTCTCGCAAGGTGTGATAGTGAACGTCCATGGAGCATGCATAGGTCATCGTGAAATCGTCCAATCGCCTTTTTGAGTACGCTGGGATGATAAAAGGGGTCTCAACCGTGACGAAGAGAGTCCCGACAAAGAGTTACAGCACAGTGCAAAGAAGTCCCCCCCCCCTCCACCCACCAACCCACCCAATCTAGAAACTGCAGAGAAGAAAATCCTCCGTCCTGACATTACAACATATACATACAACTCATGTGTCATTTAAAAAAACAATAACAAAACAAAACAGGTGTAACATGAGAACGGTGCAGATTATATCACGAGTTACAGCTACTGAGTCTCAGAGCGAGGGAGGGCTCTCTCTCTGTTGCAGCTTCCAGCTCCCACGATGCACACGGGATGGACCTAAAATAAATCATCCCGAACCCAAGATAGTACACAGAAGAACACTAACATTCCTGCCCTACTAACTCAAAACTCATGGAGCTCCCATACTGCAACACCCCCTCCCGAAATCCTCCAAAACAAACACACACACGCTCGCACACACACGCGCACACACAGATAGTCTGTCGTATACTGTACAGCTGGCCCTCTTAAGGGGAAGAAAAAAAAAAAACATATTTACATTCACATCTGTAGAAAAGAAATTCATTTCTCTCTTTTTTTTTAATGCGTGTGTTTGTAACATAAAAAAAAATGCAGAAATAGACAAAAATCCACAGAGCTGAGCTTAAAAGTTCACTGATGCAAGAGTTCAAGAGTTAAGGAAAGCTTTTGGGAGCACTTTTTTAAAATACTCTGGCGTGTTTGGATTTATTCAGTCGTTTCTGTTAAACCCAGGTCTGGGATTTTGCCAACGTCTGTTTCAGTGATCGCTCTCTCTTCTCGCTGCAACCTTTGGTAAAACCTTCGGGACGCTAACGGGCAAAAAGTACGACGCGACAAAGAGGCAGTGAGTGACGGAACATTTAGAGGCATATCTGTTTCTCTATGATTATTATGTTCAGGATCAATACTGTTTGTTTTTTTTCCCTTCATCGAAACACTTATTCTTACTACAGTATAAACAAATGGAGCTGATAATGTCATAATACTTCAGTTTGGTTAATTTACTGTAAAAAGAAGTCTTTTTTTTCTATTCTTTTTTTTTTCTATCCACACCTCTGGTTTACGTGCAGCATCCTGTGCAACCACCCGGTGCGTCACGCTGTCGTCGCGACTTTGCTGGTGTAATTAATCGACAATTCGAGCACGCTCTCCCCCCTAACGAGGACAAATGAAAAGCACTCTCTCCAAAAAGAATACGAAAACAAAATAAAGACTCATCCAGAGCAGCCGCGGGGCTCTGACTGTGTCAGCGGGTTACGTCATGAGCGTTTGTCACTGCACAGTCTTGAGACGAGAATCCGAAAACACAGTGCCGTGCGAGCAGCTGGTCGAGAAGGAGCTTTTCTAGTGACGTTTATTTACAGAGAGGAAACTGCCGTCGTCCTTCGAGGGGATGAATCCACGCTTTCAACCGCGATGCCTTCGCAGTCCTGCGCTAACACGGGACGTGGAGGAGATGGGGGACCACAGTACGCTGCTGCTGTCTGGTGAATCCCTCCTCTGATTACACTTCAAAACACAGCTATGAAATTGATTAGTCACCTCTGAGATGAAGCCTCCTTTAGACTGTAGAGGTTTAAGGAATCACCAGACATCAGCAATGACCTCACACACATACACACACACACACACACACACACACACACACAGGAGCGGCTCTGAAATCAGACTCAGGAATCCAGGAGGGCCTCTTTTGTTTAGGTGTTGCGGACCGCTAAGGCCTGTTCCAGCTCCTGTCTCCTCTGCTGAATCTGTCACGGGGAAAAGCAGAAGGAGGTAAATCTGACTGCTGTCATGCGAACATATGGAAGCAGAGCTTGCAGGTAAAGGTGTCCGCAAGTCACCTTGCAGTAGAAATAGCGGCTGACGGCCTCTTGGGACCAGGGTTCGTGGTAGAACGCCGCCCTCCGCTCCTCTTCAGGGTTCCCCACCACGTCTGTCATTAACTGCGGACGAAGAGACGACGAAGCCGTTACAAGCAGGTCTATTTTTAGCATTAATTAACAAAATAATCTATATAGTCTGCAGCGGGCAGCGATCGATCCACTTGTTCTCCCGATAGTTCATCTCAAAAACTGCCAAACTGAAGCCTTGAGGGCACTCCAGCTGGGTTTGGGCTTTTAGTTGGTGCATTTATTGCTAAACAGTAATTATAGTTATTAATTGAATAAAGCAAATGAATACCCATTAGTGCCATTAAAATGTCAGCCAAAGAGAAATCATCACTATTAAATGACCCCCCGCCCCCTTTAATTTCTTTAATTTACATTAATGAATTCTTCTGCTTTTTATTTTCCACTTTCATTCAACATCCACAGGACGTCTGTCGGCTAACATGCAGGCTTGATAGATATAAAAAGAAGTGTGCAACCTTAAAGTCTCGGCTCTGGGATTTGAGCCAGTCCTGGATGTAGCCCTTGGGATCTCTGGAGAAACTCAGCATGAAGTCCCTCTGGATCTTCAGCTGATTGATGGACTCGATGGTCTCATGGATCTGAACGGAAACACACACATGACACGTCACAGCGCTGTTGCTGTTTGTTCATTTGACGCTGCAATTATCCTGTGAAAATGATACAATATCTAGCAGGAAAAGCAAAATATCTCAGGAAAACTGACTTTATGTAACAGTGGGAGGAGGACTTCTGATCCGAAGCTGCCGACCTCAGCAGCACAGAGGCTAACAGCAGACTTAAACTTCTGTGTCAAATCTACGCCGTAGGCTGGAAATGTTATAGAGCCTGTACTCTACTGTGATTGGCTTATTCAGTCGATTCCTCCTGTGCGTTTCTGGCTACTTTTTTTGTCGCAATTTTTGAATTTTTCAGTGATTTATCATCTCCTCGTTGCAAGAACTCACAGATGACAGCAAAGTCCTGGGAATAAATGCGAAGGACCATACAATGTGGGGGAAAGTTGAGAACAAATAAGTTTGCCTGAGAAAAAAAAATCTGACCATGACAAAGAGTGGGAGGGAACAAAATCCCAGCATTTGTTTCTGTCGTGGCAGGCTCTGCATATAAAGATCCCGAAGTCTAACCCACCTGGAAAAGTGAGTAGGGTAAATTTTCACTGACCTGCCTCAACTCACTCCTGACATGCTGACAGGTATTCTCTTGTATTACAAGTTTTCTTGAATTTTATTGATCAAATATAAACCGAGGGAATCTAAACACCTCATAAAGGCGAAGGATTTTACACATTTTCTTATCTTTTTAAAATTCACTATTTTAACCAAATTTCTGGTGAGTTTAAAGGTACTTTGGTGTATGAAGGTGCTACTAAGGAGGAGATTTTTGGCTCGTGATGTAAGAAAAAATACAGACTGTATATAAAGGATGGAGGTAGTGTTCATTTGTTAAGTCTCAAGTTGAGTGTTCCTAGCGTTAACCATCTTTGCGAACACTGTACGCTCTGGACTCACAGGGTCCCAAGTTAGTCGTCGTTTCACTCTGACGGGGACCGTAGTTTTTCAAAATAAAACCACACCAAGTTCAATCTGGTCTGCAACCTGCGATTGAGCCCATGAACTTGTGTGGAAGGTGTTTACTGAGACCACAGATCAAGTGGGAAATAACACTGACTTCTCTGCAATTTGACTATTTTGTGCAGCCAGAGGAGTCGCCCCCTGCTGCTCATTAGGAAGAATGAAGATTTAAGCACCTTCACCTTAAGCACCTTTTTTTTATTCGTTTCCCCAAATTTATTGTTGCTCATGTTTGGAGTTAGGAGTTATCGTTAGCTTTCGAGCCATCACAGAGAAACGTGAGAGTATTTTTACGCTTTAAAGGTCAAAATGTTAAGTAAGGTAAAATGAGAACCATAACTCTGAAAACAAAGCAGGTTTTAAATGTTGATAAAAGTGTTGAATTTTAATATCAAGGTTGTAAATATTTATATTTTCTTCCTGCTACAGAAACATGTGACACCAGGGAGTTAACTCATTATTCATGATTATCCATCCTTCAGTGCTTTTACAGGTCACTTTAATTGATTATTTTACATAAAAACATACCGACTCGTGCTGACTCGGGCCTGTATTTGATAATTCTCTCACTGGTATGTCTTCTGACACTCTATTTGGTATTAGAAAAATGGCGAATATAATTAGGTGAACACAGAAATTGATCCATCTATCCACCCATCCATCCATCTCCTTAACAGCTTGTCTGTTTCAGGGTCGCTGAGGAGCGGGAGAGTATCGTAACAGCTGTCACTGAGCAGGAAGTTAGATACACCGTGGACAGGTGACCAATCCACACGGCCAGTTTAGAAATATCATTTAACCTAAAGTATGCGTTTGGACTGTGGGAGGAAGCTTGAACACAAGAAATCAACTGTGTTAATGGAAATGCCGTTTGCAAGACTTGCATCAAGAGTATTCTCAGAAGTTCAGAAATAGGTTCTCTGCTATTATTAAGAAACAACAACTGTGCAAAAGACTTGACTCACCTATAATTTCTTGGTACTTTACTTCTAAGGA